TATATATATATATATATATATATATATATATATATATCCTAACATACGCGTCATCAACATACACGTATATGACGAATAAAAATAATACTAATAATGTTTAACGTAGTCATAGAATGTTTGCTACCTCATTTCCTGAACGTATAAGACGTAGAATAAGACGTAGCATCAACACGAATGTATACACGTTCCGGAAATATTACATGGCGGGCCCGGCAGCACAAGAAATTTGAGATTTCCATCACAAGGCGAGTGTCAACCGACACAAAAATTCGTTGTCGCGTTAAATGTCATGATGCACTTTATTCGCGTCGGGATCGTCAGATTCTTGCACTTTATCTACTATATGTTTATGAATAAGAGATTTAACACGCGCCCTTTTCATAAACAAAGAATCGACTAAAGTGAGAAATAGATACAAATAGATTATGTATATGTATATACATATAAATATATAAAATTTTAATTCAAACACCATGTCGCTGCACGCGTTAATACAGATGGAATGATACACGAAAATTTTTGTCAAAGAATTTCCTCCGAGCAGCTGGCGTTCATCCAATCGTTTACTCTAGCGAATGTTTGCTAGAAACCGTCCTATTCGCTCATGTGTATCTCACTACTATTCCCGCCGGTTCTCTCTCGCGGTAGAAAGAGAAAGAAAGAGAAAGCAACGTGTATACCGATCGACAACGACGCTTAGTACAAGAGAGAAAGGGAAAAAAGGGGAAAAGGAAAGAGAGAGAGAGAGAGAGAGAGAGAACACGAAGAAGGAGAAAGAGAGAAAGAGAACGAGAGAGAGAGAGAAGAGAAGAAGTAAGAAAGAAGAGGAAAGGAGAAAGAAGAAGCAAGTGGGAAGTCTTCACACGGGGCGCACACGGTTCTCTGTTACCTGCGACTCGTGGCCGTGTCCAGCATGGTAATCTAATCCTTCGGATGGGGGGCTACCTCGTCATCCCTGCGGGTCTCTCGTTGACCGATTGAAAAGTAGAAGAACTTCACTTAACAGCTATTTTCGTTCTTCGTCGGGCACTGCTTGTTGGAAATAAAATCACTCCACTCGCACGATTGGCCACGGTTCGTGTATGTACGAGAGAACGCGGAAGGACGCCTTTACTGGCGCGAAGACGACGCACTTCTATCCGCCAAGTTTTTTCCGTCTTTCTCCCTTGTTTCCACGGAACGAATACACTGTCCACGAGAAATGAAACGTTGATCACCACACGTTATATTAATAATACGCGCGACGCACGATCGGAAACGAATCACGAATTCGTTTTACGAAGACGGAACGCGCCACCGAGATAACCAATCGTCATACTTTTACAAACGACCGTTCACAAGCAGAGGCCGCAATATACTGAACACATGATTCCAACGGGGGCTAGTGTCGCCGTATAGCGTGAAGGTGGCGCCACCGAAGCGGCGCTTCGATCGAGATCGGCCACACACGGAATCTTCGAAAAGGTCGAGACAATTTTCGCTCTTCTCGTGGAAATTACCGTGAAATCGGAGTGAATGTGAGTGCACAAATACACGATACGTGTCCCGGAATTTCGTAACCTTCGAACAGAAATCAATGATACTTCAACACCAGACTTCTGATGTCAAGTAACTATCAAGGCTGCCACATATCTTGATTGAATGCAGATTAACGTGAGTAGTTAGCTATTATAATTTATACAAATTTGGAAGTCGATTAACTGCAGTTTATAAATTAAACACAAATTCGAAGGATTCTAATGTGTTTTAAAATTTTATGTTAGATATAAATTTCATTATAACAGTATACTTTAGAATAATGAAATTTCTCTAGTTATGGCGGGAAAAAATGTTACTGCTTAAATAGATGTCTCTTACCCTAACGAAACATGAATTGTTATGCGCATGTAGGGGGCGCTGCAATTGCTATTGAATTTGTTTCGATTAATCGAAAGTAAAACATAAAATTTGATATTTCACTTATTTTATATTATTTCTTTTACTAAAAAAATTTTGACATACATATTTACGATACGTTTCTGTAAAATTTTATATATATATATAAAATTATATATCATTAGAAAGTAAAATAAACTTTTTCCTCCATTAAAAATTATAAATACCGTGATTGATACCGCGCGTAAAAATCGAACGCCATGTTTCATCAACGATATTCAGTTCGTAAATAAAATACCGGGTCAAATAAATTATATCATAGGCTGCTTTGGATGACGACACGAAATATACAGAAAAATATTTCGTCACCAGTGTGCAGCGAGGACAAGTTAAAGATATTTATAGAAAGCCAAAAGTTTGCTCTTATCGCGACCACGCGGTTATCATATTCGTCTTGCTATTCTGCACTTTTATACATTTATACAAATCTTTCTTTTTCTTTTAGTCGTAAAATAAAATACGAATAAAATAAATGTGATAAATGAAAGATCACACAAGGGAAGGGTAGAATTTTACGACATACCGTTCTTGTTACAAAAATAATTCTTTTGTTCGAGCGGGACAATTTACGTTATCGGTAAATTAGCATTTTTTTAATTATGACTAATAATATTTCGTCAAAATTGCCAGCAATACAGCCGTGAAATTTCACTTTGTGGTATGCAACTGGTTGTGAGAAATACGCTTCGAAACATGTCGTTTACACTCTAATTGTTTGCAAATCTGTAGGCTGCTGAATGTAATCTTGTTTACAAAGTTAAGAGGCCTAGTAGTATTTACTTATTTCCACCGACACTTTGGTTTCTTGTTACATGCAGTAACAGCGATTGTTAGTGAAAGCCACGTGTTTTATCAACGCGAAATGCATACAATATATATCTCGTCCATACAATTATGTACGATATTTTCTTACGTGTGCAATCATTTATATACGTTCATACGAATTTTCCTTTCTCTCTCCTTTTTTTTCTTGCGTTTCTTCCCCTTCCCCTCCCCCTCCCCCCTGCTAAACAGACTAAAGAACGTCAACGTCTCTCGTTTTTATCGTTACATATCGGGGCACGCGAAATTTCATTTGAGCGAGTGCACACCGGCCAGTGTACAATTGTTCATGTAGTTAATGTAGGATGTAATAGCGTACGGCGTACGAATACACGAATGCGAATACCTTTGTTACGCGTGCGCGCTATTAATGCACGTGCTCTCCGATGCGCGCGGATAAATACGAATACGATAATAACAGGAGTTACGTTCGAGAGAAAGTGGCGGGCCGATAAACAGGGAAATTCAAGAATTTCAACGGATACCTTCTCATCTCCGATTTAATACGTAATCTCTCTCTCTCTCTCTCTCCACCTCTCTGAATAAATCGGATTCCTTCTCCCTCTGATTAAAAATTCTCAACTTCTCGAATGGGGATTAACGTCATTGTTAACTCGAATTTCTATCTTTTCTTCGTGAATTATATTCGCGGTAATTAAAAATTACCGGCTCGCGGAACATTGTGTTTATCTAATTAACGAGGGAAAATATTTCCGACTTACAACTCGAACGTGCAAGTCGCAGCACTCGGCAAAAGCAAAAGATTCTCGCGCGCGAAAGACACGGCCGTGCTCTTGCCTCTCGAACCAATACAGACTCCCCCCTATCTCGTTCAATTAATTTCTCGGCCGAGTTCGTTTGTACCTCTCTTCCTCCCGCTATCTTCCTATAAATTTTCCAATGTTGCACCGTCACTTTCCGCGATAAAATTCCTTCACCCCGCCTCGAGATAAGCGAGATTTCGGTAAGCTTAGGCGAGCCGAATCGCGATTTCCTCCTCTGCTGCCGGCCACCGATCCATCCTTCGTTTCCTGGGCTGACCACGGTTTCGGGTATTTTATCTTCGAGAGAAAGCAGACGAGCAGAGCAGAAATATCGATCGATCGTGTACACGAACGTGTGTACACAACTACAGTTAGCAACAGTGACGTAGACGGCGACGCGATTGGCTGGTAAAACAGTTACTATCTTATCTTTTTCCCCCGTGAGTGTCAACACTCGCCGTATTCTCGCGTATTACAATTTAAACGTGCACAACTTTTCCGGCCTCCGACTAAAAATTTTTCATTCTCCCATCTTCGAATCCTTCCTTCGAAATTTCACCTTCTTTCTTTTCTCTTTCACCTTCTCTTTCCTTTCTCCCCCAGCATTCGATGACAAATTCGTTTCTCTCTCGCCTCGAGATCGTGCCGAAAAAAACCCTGAACGTTTTACCTTGTTCGGTAAGCTTATCGAAAATAGGCTGGTGATCGACGATGCGTATCAGCCGGTATGGAAACACGGCCGCTTAATTACGAGTACATTATCTGATGTAGGAATCTGCCTGCTATTTGCACCGTATTCGTCGATTCGCTTTTATAACGCGATACTTTATTGGGGTTAATTCGACGTTGATTAAAAAAAATAAAACGAAAGAAAGAACGGACGAAATATCTTCTATGTGTAACATATTTTTCTCTTAATTATACACGTATGGCAACATCTCTTAGAATGTTGAACAACTCGAGTTATAACGAGCGCGTTCATTAAATAGATACACGATGTTGTGTAAGTATACCGTACGTGATGAACACTGTTACGATGTTTCCATCATTGTCGTGGTCGATGAAACGGCGCGATTTCGTTTCAATTTCGACCAAAAGATCTCTCTCTCTCTCTCTCTCTCTCTCTCTCTCGAACGAATTGGCGATCATAGGGAAGAGATTTACCGCGAGAAAGGCACGCGAGGCATTTCGAGGCCCCCGCGAATCGTGCAGATGGAAATCAGGTTAAACGTTGAGAGTGTTGGACATAGAGTCGAACGTGTCGAATCGCGACAAGTTTATTTTCAGCTCGGCCTAAGCTTGCGCATATCTTATGTAAAGTAACTGCGTGTGCGCGAACGACAACAGGTCGTTAGTGGCTCAGGTGCGAAGAAGATACGATTTCCGATTTCGACGAGAAGATAATCGAATTTTCACTCGCGAACATAATTTAATATTCTTCAGACATCGATTCGAAAGATTAAATTGGAATATTTAATGCGGGAGAAAAGTAATCTTTCATAGCAATCTTAATCCTTTCTTAACCGACTCTTAAAGACAATTGCATATCGCAAATCTCTCTCTCTCTCTCCCTTCCCCTCTCCTATACTTGGTCTATCCGTAACGACGATGATCTAATTGCCGGTAATCGAGCCGCTCCTTTTCATGTCCGACGACAACGATGAAGACAACGCGTAGATTAGCGATTCTCCTATCGAAATTTTTACCGCCCCGAACGTATTGTTCTACGGCGGATGAAGATAATTCCACGGGACTATAAATAGACACGTAGCGGCTGAGAGAACCTAATAAAAGTGTACGCTCTAGAGCAGAAGAGCGGCCGCGTTCGAGCGTGAAGTCGAAATAATATCGAGCAACGTGTCGCCCAACCGATTCGATATCGAGCCGATATATCGTCGAGCGGAATAATTGAAAATTATTCGTACACGCGTTCGAAGATTCGAGCGAAATGGAGAGGAGAGGATGGGGGCTCGAATCAATCTTTTCTCGTTTTTCGATCCAAGTTTGGCCGGTGAAAGAGTAATCGTACCCGTCACTCTCACTGGCCCGCTAATCACGGATCATTTTGCAACATTGCTCCGGCAAACAACATCTCGTTCTCAGGGAGGCAGATACAACCATTTGAAAATTACGGCGCCGCTTGCAACCTGTATAAACAATCGGCCATTACGCACCGTTATACGATATACGATAATCGTGCTTGACGTCAAATATTAAATGATTTCGCTGCGTGAATCAGGCTGTTTAAATTGTCCGGCTTGATTGAATGATGGCCGCTCCTCTAAGTTGGCCGACAACCACTTCACCGTAAATAAAGATGGTACCCCATTCCGTATATAAGAGTCGCCTCGTTATACAGGGTGTTCGATTCCAATCGCGCCCAATCGTTTCGCGAAAAAACGATCCCGTTGGAAAAATTTTATCGGCTTCGTTTATTCTCGATTCTCGATGCTCCTTGGAAGGATGCACGTTCGTCGCGTTAGTTGTAACACTCGAAGAGGCGAAAAAGAAAGAAAGAAGAAAAAAAGAAGAATCGTTTCATTCGCTCTCGCATCCACCGAATGGTAAATTGCGCAATAAATTCAGAAGTCATTCTGATGTTTGCACGACCGTTTCGCACTTAAGCAGAGTCTGAACCGCGGCGCACCGTACCGATCACGTGTTACGAAGACGCACGTAACGAGACGTGCAAATTAAAGTAATGAAGAGTTTAGTTAGCCAGTCCAACCACTAACGGCTTTAGTTATAGTTTTCGTGATCGGGAGGCACGACGGATCGCGACCAGTTTGCTCGTATATATATATATATATATATATATAATAAATAAACGTAACAGTACCTATTAAGTAATT